TTTAGGTTATATATATATATATATATATATATATATAATTATCCACCTAAAAAAGCCCCAAAATTGCAGCTCGGACCATTCGCGCCAAAATTCTCTTCTTTGATAAATACCGACCTGTTGGTCTTCTGATATCCTCGAAATCCCGTTCTCTCTCTTCGTTGGGCGGAATGCAGCGTCAGAAGTCCATCCTCTCCTTTATGCACAAACCCTCGCCGGAACCCCATAAGTCCGGCGATATTTTCTCCTTCTCCAGTAAGCCGCCGTGCCAGATTCCGTCAACGCGGCAACCAGTCCAGAGTTCAGCCCTGGCGGGAATCTCCACCACGGATCCTTCAGCAGACGATGTTAGAGGAATCGATACTCCACCGGAAAAGATCTGTCGTCCATTCTTCAGTTCGAGATTTCCTGCAGCATTCGATTCTGCCGACGAAAGCGTGGTGCAGCCCTTCTCCAGCATACTACATAAGTTCGCTAAGGATGATGCTGCGAAGAGCTACAGTACAAAGTATTTTTTTTCGATTGAGTTAGGATTACAGTTTCTATGGATTTATGTTTCTTTCAGGTGCTCCATTATGACAACTATAGCAGTTTCAACGATGCGATCGCAATATTATTTTCGGATATTTGTCTTTTCTGCCAAGTAAACTGACAGTACGTTTTGCTGCTGGTCTCGTCACCTAAAGCAAGGGCATATAAGAAAAACAAGCTCTATTTAGACTGAGCAAGGAAGAATGTGAGATTTCGAGATGTGCGTAGACGGTTTGACGTGAGGAGAGTGATTTTTTACATCGTTTAGCTATAGCATAAGAGAAGTTTCGCCAGTCCCTGTTCTGCTCCTTAAAACTAAGCTGATCAATCTGTTGGTTCATTACACTGTAAAGTTATTCTAATATGTCTCAAATTTACCTTTTTTCCCCTTGCTTGATATTCTTTTATTCGCTATTATTTACTGCTTAGGTGAATCTACAGAATTGGTAGCGGGCATTATTTATCTTTTGTTTTTTTTTTTGAAATTCCTTTCGCACCTTGTTTGGCATGACTTGGTACTTTTAACGCCAGGAACTATTATTATGTGCTCGCCCTCTCTCACTTTTTACAATATTGGAGTACAAAGTTTGTTCTAGCATACTTAAACAGTTAATTTTCTGTTTTCTAGAGCATGAACTGTTGATATATCTTCATATATTAAAATATTTTGAGTCAGATCTGTTGTTTACAATATTGCTTGTAAAAGCCTCTTGTATCTGCATTAGAAAAGTTATTCATGTTTTATTTATCACTTGCAGGAACCAAAAGGAAATAGTTTCATCTAGTTTGCTCTCTAAATCCTCCGGACTAGAGGATAACAATCCAGACAAGAGAAATGGAATGTTCATTGAAGATAGGGAGAAGAATGCTGATGATTTTGTTTTCGAGGCAAACGGGAAGGCCCAAAATGCAGAACTTGTATTGGATTTGCTGGGACCAGAAACTCCTGCTACGAGACCACATGTTCCTCACTTTAAGAGGATACAAAATATAAGTGATTTTGAACACATTTCATCCTCTTTCATTTTGGGATCTAATAAAAGGCAGAAGCCAAATGAAGAACTCCCAGAAAAAGAAGTTCATGACGAGAAATATGAAATTTCTAGTAAATTTGAGTGGCTTAATCCTTCTACAATTCGAGATGCAAATGGTAGACGCCCTAATGACCCATTATATGACCAGAGAACATTATACATTCCTTCTGATTCCTTGAAGAAAATGTCAGCTTCTCAGAGACAATATTGGAGTGTAAAATGCAATTATTTGGATGTTGTACTTTTCTTTAAAGTCGTAAGTTATGCTAATAGTGATAGTTTATGCTAGCTTGTTTTACATTTTTGTATTATTCCTCATGAATATTACGTGTTTTTTAATATTTTTGTAGAGTTTATTAAGCAATGTCAATTCTCGTTATGTTATGTTATATGGTTATTCTGTTAGGCGGCCATTGCGTGAATATCAAGTGATGTTGGAGTATCGATGTGGATGAAAATATTAAGCTGAATGCACATTTAAACTTGGAAGGGAAGGCTCAACGCCAACAATATTCAAGAGATTGTGGGAATAACACTTGTGAATAAAAAAATACCTGGACTCGTGATTGTTGGAGCAAGTTTTCGTCTAGGATCACGTGTTCGCGCCACACTCTTTGTGGTGATCTATTCTTCACTGTTTAGAAAAAAAAAAAAACTTGTGAAGTAAATGTTTATTAAAAATAGGCTTAGGTAGTTTAGGGGACACATATGGTAGTAAATGCACCAACAAGGGTTTGTTTGGAACCTCTTTTTTCTTATTTTTTCTTGCTGCAGTACACCTACATTTGATTGATAATCTTTTAATTGCATTTTGATAAGTTATGCTATATTGAATAACTTTTCGTGATTGTGCATATCAGCCTATGTTCTAGCGGTGTAGTTGTATTGCATGGATTCTCAATATAAGATTTTATAATTCTATTGTATATATTGTATGGGAATTGTGTAATAACCTTAACATCTATTTTTCCTATGGTAGTTTTACAATTGAATTCACAAATGAATGTGGCCAGCCCAAATAGGCCTCAAGTCATGGAGATATGATTAGTGTGAAGTGATGATGCAAACCTAAATATGTGGGTAAAGCTAATGAGGATGTCAATAATGAGAGTCTTTTTTGAATGTGTTTTAGTCATACAGTATTTTTATAGGCGAATTATTGAGTTTGATGTCACATCTAATGGATTTTGCTATGAAAACTATCAATATAGTTAAACTTCTTTAAAAAATTTATTGAAATCTATGACGCATGTTCATGATTTTCTCCACTCAAGCTCCCATTATTATTGTTAATGGTATCTCTAGAGATTGGATCAATGGAATTTCACTTCTCATGAAGATTTTTAAGAGTTTGATTTCACTTCACATAAACTAGATTGTGCAATTTTTCATGATTCAATTTCAATATAGAAAAGACTTAGTTCCCAAATATTTTATTATATATATTACTTTATTATATGTTTCTTCATATATTATGGTTTATACTTTTAATTATACTAAAATAGTTTTGCATTAAAGATCATTTAACTCCTCACATCTAAGTTCTTATCTAGCTGGCGCTTTAGTGATAACATCTGGTTGAGAGGAGTGGGAGGTGTTTAGGGTTACCTCATTTAATAACACCACTTGCATAAAAATAGTTTGAGTAATTTCAACATATATGTTTTTGAAAACAGTATCATTACTTTTAATAAGTTTTTCATTTATGTTATGGTGACTTACAATTATGTGAACTAAGACAAAGTCACATTTATAAGGAGGTTTAAATAACTAATGTGTATAACGGTCATTTGACTATTTAAAGGTGTTGAACTGATCATCTTGTATGTGTCATTGGTCTATTTATATGTAATGTTGTATATGAGTTGAGAGGGTTAAGGGAGAGAAATTCTGAGAGCAAGGTGAGAAACCAATAAAGCTTGTATCGAGATCAAGATCGATAGAGAGCTTAGGAGATTGATTTGTTCTTGATCTTGTGCGGTGCAATCCTTAAGATTGTCTTAGTGAATTGTTTATTGATTCCATCCCGTGGATGTAGGTCCTATAGACCGAACCACGTAAATTCTCGGTATTCTTGTTTGCATTCCTTCCTGCGTTTTTTGCCTTGCTGTCTTGCGACTTTCTTGGCAGCAGATTCTGCTACAATTGGCGCCGTCTGTGGGAATTCTAGCCTAAAAAGTTTGACATCGAGAAATTAATCGAAAAGAACGATTTCGGCTTGTGGAGAGTCATGATGGGAGCCCTATTGGTGTAGCAAGGTGTCGTAGAAGCATTGCAAGGATCAATGGTATTGCCGGCCGGGAGTAGAACAACATCTTGGACCGAGCTGACAATGTGATAATCTTGAGCTTGGGTGACAAAGCTTTGAGGGAAATGTCAAGGGAGACAACGGCTTAGGCCCCTCGGGGCTAGATGGAGGGAATTTCTATTATGGAGGTTTGTAATTGGAAGTCAAGGTGGAGATTTGTTATGGTGACTCATAATTATGCGAACTAAGACAAAACCGCTTTTATAAGGAAGTTTAAAGAGCTAATGAGTACAACAGTCATTTGGCTATTTAAAGGTGTTTAACCGGTCATCTTGTATGGGTCATTGGTCTATATATATGTAATGATGTATATGAGTTGAGAGTGTTAAGGGAGAGAAATTCTGAGAGCAAGGTGAGGAACCAAGAAAGTTTGTATCAAGATCAAGATTGATAGAGTGCTTGAGGAGGTTGGTTCGTCCTTGATTTTGTGCGGTGTAATCTTCAAGATTGTTTTAATGAACTGTTTTTTGATTCCTTCTCATTGATGTAGGTCCTATGGACCGAACCACGTAAAATTCTTGTGTTATTGATCGCAATTTTCTTCTTTTAGTTTCTTTTTTTTTTCCTTTTCTTCGGTTGTCCAGGTGATTGACGGTGCTGATTTTCAAAAAATTGGCGTCGTCTGTGGGAATTCCAGCAACGACAATGGGAATTGCCAAATTTGACATCGAGAAATTCATTGGAAAGAACGATTTTGACCTGTCAAGAGTCATGATGAGAGCTTTGTGGGTGCAACAAGGTGTGGCAGAAGCTTTGCATGGGCCGGTGGCATTGCCGGCTGAAGTGCCGGAAAGAGAAAAGAACAACATCTTGGACAGAGCACATAGCGTGATAATCTTGAGCTTGGGTGACAAAGCTTTGAGGTAAGTGTCAAGGGAGACAACGACTCAGGCCATTTGGGGCTAGGTGGAAGGAATCTCTATTTTGGAGGTTTGTAATTAGAAGTCAAGGTGGAGATTTGTTATGGTGACTTCCAATTATGTGAACTAAGACAAAGCTGCGTTTATAAGGAAGTTTAAATAGCTAATGGGTATAACAATCATTTGACTATATAAAGGTGTTTAACCGGTCATTTTGTATGGGTCATTGGTCTATATATATGTAATGATGTATATGAGTTGAGAGAGTTAAGGGAGGGAAAAATTCTGAGAGCAAGGTGAGGAATCAAGAAAGCTTGTATCAAGATCAAAATCGATAGAGAGCTACCGGTCATCTTGTATGAGTCATTGTCAATATATATGTAATGACATATATGAGTTAAAAGGGTTAAGGGAGAGAAATTCTGAGAGCAAGGCAAGGAACCAAGAAAGCCTCTATCGAGGTTAAGATCGATAGAGGGCTTGGAATCAATAAATTCTCTATGAAGATCAAGATCAATAGAGGGCTTGGAATCAAGAAAGCATGTAACATGTTCAAGATCTATAAAGAGCTTGAGGAGATTAGTTCGTCTTTGATTTTGTGCGGTGTTATCTTCAAGATTATCTTAGTGAATTGTTTCTTGATTCCCTTCCGTGGATGTAGGTCCTATGGACTGGACCACGCAAAATTCTTGTGTGTTTTTTATCGCAATTTTCTTCTTTTAGTTTCTTTTCTTTTTCTTTTTCATCGGTTGTCCAGATTATTGGCGGTGCAGATTTTCAACAATTTCTATGAATTATTTGATGGTTTGATGAACGATTAAGTCTTCACAACAGGCGATGAAATGTGATCACAAAGTTTTTCCTAAGTTCGAGACTAACATAAATAGTTTTGATCTTGCATAGAGTTAGTAACATAGAAAAGTAATTGAGAGGTGACCTTAATACTTTTAGTACATTTCATTTCATCAGAACTCGTTTTGTTATTTCTTTTCTGATGACAATGCATCAATCATTGATTATTTTCACTGAAAGCAATATATGTACCCACCTCATTTTTTATTCTGCTGACCTTGTTATATCTCTTTTTTTTACTATTTTTATTTTTTTATTTTGAAGATTGTCTTTTTTACCTTTTATTTTGGAACTAGTTAAATACTAATTATTTCTTACAATACTAGGGAAAATTTTACGAACTATATGAGTTAGATGCTGAGATTGGTCAGAGAGAGCTCGACTGGAAAATGACTGTCAGTGGTGTGGGTAAATGCAGACAGGTAACTGATTGCTAGTTTTTGTATTCTTCTTTTAGCATGTTTATAATTTCCGAATTGATTAAAGTGTCAGAATAGTTCTTTAAGTATTTACATGAGGTCTTTTTCGTCGCAAAGTTTATAAAAGTGTTAAATTAGTCCTAGGCTCTTTTAGTAAGGTCTAATATAGATCTCATTAGGGACTATATTGAAACATATTCAAGGAGTCCGGGGACTAAATTGACATTTTTATAAAGTCTGGGACTAAAAAGACCCCCTTTAAAGAGTCAGGGGACCATCTTGACCCTTCTCTTTTTTATTCGATTATAAAATTATATTGTTCTGTCTTTATGCTGTGTGTGCAGGATGTATTTTTAATTTTGATTGTTTAAATAGATATCACTTTATGGAAATAATTATGTTGCGTGTGCAGGTCCTGCGCTTTTCTAATCTGCTTGTATTTTGTGTGTCAAAATAATGTCATTGAAGTTTGATTTTCTTGGTGGTTTTTGCTTTGAAAATGTTTTCTCGGGAATAGTAATAATTTTAGTGTCTGACTACAAATGAATGAGTGTTTCAGAATGATTATGACATATCGCCTTTATATGTGAACCGGCTCTTACATTTTTGCCAAAAAAATTATACGTGAGCTTCAAATTTGGTTTGCACATATTGAGCTTTTATTTTGTCATGAATAATTGAACTGTTGGTTCTTTGTTTTTGGCTTATTGGTAAATTAATTTTATAACCTAGTTTAATTTTAACACATTTACTTTTAAATAGACCTAACTTGAATCAATTACCACTGAGTTCTGGTTCCCTTATGTTTCAAATATTCTTCATTTTATACTGGCATTATTCAGTTCCTTTCATTTATACCTACCAACTGGGATGTTGACTTCATGTTTCATTATAGGCAAATACAGCTTAGTGATAACTACGTTTTCCTGAAGCGTAATCAATTTCTGATCATTGATCGAACTCTGGCTGTAATTTTTTGTTGGTCGTGTTCTTCTTTTACTGATGTATTTTTACATAGCATTTTAACTCGATATATTAAAACAGCGTACCGTACAGGCTTCAAAGCAAAAAAAAATGTGCATTTTGTCTTTACCTTTCCATGCTGATCCGACATTTGTGAATTTAGATATGTGAACTATGGATGTTCAAGGGTGAAAGCTACATGATGAATAAATGTGTTAAGATTTGTGATGGAAAATTTGTGGTTCTCTCTCACCTTAGTAGGAAATTATGACCACAAGGATTGAAGTCTTCTACTACTAGATTAATTTTATAACAACATTTTGGTTGTAATTTGTTTGCTCTTGTTTCATCCCATCTTCTTGTACAAGGAAAAAGTGCCTTTTTTTAGGTTTGATCTTATGCGAGCCGATACTCAGTGCACTTGCATTTTTTTTCCTTCGATATAGTAAATTTTCTTCTTCTGCCTTTAATTTTTTTTTTCTTCTTGGATTTTCCACGTAAAATCTTTGTTATTCCTTTTGTTTCTTTTATTGCTTATCGCTTTGATTTTACAACAAAATGAATGGCTTAAGAGCTGTCATATCTGTGCCGAATACTAGCATACATGGATATCTTAGAACACCATGACAGATACTCTATTTGGTTTCTCATATTCAGATTTTGAAAAATATATTGTTTTAAAATGTAAACCCGATTTCAAAATTATCCAAAAAATGTTATTAAGTTTGAAATATAGAAAAGTCGTCTATTTACTTTAATACAGGAACGTATTTATTTATTTATTTCAATGTTTTCCTCCCAACGTTGGAGGCACATGCATATACTTTACATGTTTATGCATGATGCGATAATATTTTCATTTTTGTTTGCATGTTGCTACAAGCATGAATGGGCGGTTCTATGGTAACTATATCATATATAGGTGTATTTATAGAATTGCATCAGCATATATATATATAATATTGTATATGCTAACGTCTCCATATCCTCCTTTCTCAAGGATAACATACATTGTGTCCTTTGTTTTTTGCATGCTTCGTAAAACTTTATTTCTTATTTCAAGAACGAGATGCTAGATTTCTTGTCACACTACTAATTCTAGTTGAAACTTTCTCGCAATTCTTCCTAAAATCCAGCTATCTTGTTGTTTTAACTGCTTGTATTAGTCTCTATTTGGTTTATCTTGATAGTTACTTTAGTTATTCCTGAATTGCAGCCACTTTTAGTTTTAAGTGCACCCATGTAAGTATTTATTGTATTCATTTCAATGCTTTCTTTATGCTCTTGTTTGTTTCTCGTGTGTCGATATTTGTTTGTTGTATTGTGCTTATGTGCATATGCACATGCTACACTGACATGCCTATATTTATTTGGTTAGTTATTGTGAGCATTATTTGCTGGTATATATTGAAGTTGGAACCTTACAGTGGTTTTCTCATTCATCTCTAGAGTTGCTGATCATGTTTTCTCAATGGCTATCGTCTAACGCTTTTATCATCCACGTTCTTGCGTTTCTGTTGATGGATATTTGTTTCTGATTGTTAACATTTGGTGGTCAGGTTGGAATTTCTGAAGCAGGAATTGATGATGCGGTTGATAAACTTGTAGCTCGAGGGTATGGAGATTGATGTTTATCATTTGTTTTGTTTCTATGTCCACATAGCATCAGCACATTCTCACAATTGTTCATGAATTTTGTGATGTGCGTTGAAAAAGTTATAAGGTGGGCCGAATGGAGCAAGTTGAGACCTCAGACCAAGCCAAAGCTAGAGGAAAAAATTCAGTGAGTGGTCATAACTTTAGATCCTATACTTGTTTTTCCTGTATACTTTCTAGATTGTTGCCATGGATAAATGTTATTTATCATATTCAATCAGCTAAAGTTCTCAAGAAGCCATTTTATACTATTTGAACTTCTTTCCAACTAATTCATAGTAAAGGTTAGAACTTATGGAGTATATAAAAATATATATTATTGTCAACTAGTGTAAGCTGGTTTGGAGTTTGAATGTTTCCTCTCTGATCATGCATCAGTAATGTATATTGTACTGTGTGTGATTTTTTTTTTCTCTGTAGAGGATTTGCAATGCTTCATATATGCGTTTTTAGAAAGTAACTTATATTTTCTCAAAAGCATTGACTAGGGCATCTGCTCTGTATATAGATTTTGTAAAATGTTTTTACATTTAGAAGTAAAATTTTGAAGTGCTTGGATGATTGGAATTTTTATTTAAGCCCGTCATGTATTGGAAGGAGTTGAAGCCTCATTGTTCACTTTGTAATACCCCTTTAGAAGATTCCTCATTATTTTATCTGTTTAGGAGTTAATTATTGTGTTGTGTTTTTTTAATAAGTTAATTTTTAGCGTGTTGGCCAAGGTATCAGAAATTTTGCATGGCCTTTGTTAAAATTCATTTTATCACATCACTTAACCCTCAAAATGTCATCCTTCATTTTATTCATATTTCAAACATCTCTCATCTAAGTTAACAAGCGAGGAGTTGAAATTTCTAGAGGAACACAGCTTATTTTGTCCCTTATACAAAGATTGTCGTGTAAGTTAAATGGGCTCATTGGCTCTATTGGGTCAGAAGGCGGGGATCCAACTTATGGGGATTAAAGAGGCAAAAGGATATAGTTCAACTTGCTTAAAAAGTGAGGGCGCTGTATAAATTTTTTTAAATATTTTATTTGGCGTCTTCATCTTGTTTAGTTAATTAATGCCTTCATGTTTGTCATTTTTAACCTTTGGTGGTAAAAAAGAAATATTTGTTTTTTTTTGTTTTAATGCTTGAGTTTTTTTTCTATTTTGTTAGGTTATAGAAAGGAAGTTGGTCCTTATGGCTACTCCATCCACTGCTATTGACGGCAGCATGGGTCCAGATGCTGTTCACCTACTTGCTCTGAACGAGGTGACATTAGTTTCTTATTTTTTACCAGTGATTCCCGCTTATTTGTGTTCTCTCTCTTTGACTTGCATTAAAAACATTCAGGTGGCACACTAATTTTTATTATACCTGTATTAGTAGCTGTGAATACCGTTGTTGATTCAAAAATTTGTTTGCTTATCACTTGCTATCGATACACTTTTATTTTGTTAAATGTGTGTGATATTAAAGTGGAAAGAGAGAAGAGGTATGGTTGTTGCGGGTCCTGAGAAGAGAGAGAAATATTTTCTTGATCATAAAGCTATCGAAAAAGGTCATCATTTGCTGCAGCTCATATTTAATGTAGTCTTTAAATAAACAAGTTAATATTGAGCAATTATATTAAGATTATTTTCTTAGCCATCGTAACATAAATGTCTTTATTTAATTGTGCTAGCTTATTATTGTTCTCTCTCTCTATATATGTGTGTGTGTGTAACTTTAATGCATATTTTATTGTTTCATATATTTAATTTATTTATCTTATCATTACTAGATAAGTATGATGATTTTATCATGTCAGATTCGTTATTTATTTTCTTTCATTTGTTTAGATTGTGTGCTCATGTTTGGCTTACAGTCTTAACAAGCCGAACACACGGATACAATATTTATGAGCAATTCTTAACACAAGTCAATTTCAGATAAATGAAATTTTTAATGAACTGAGCATGAACACCTGACAATCTCCCTCAAGCTTAGTTTATCTAGACGCTCAGTTGTTTACAACTTAAAATTCATTATCCAACAATAATCGATCGTCAAAGCCCTAAGGTTTTTGGTTGTAAATGAACCTTAGGATTGTAAGTAAATAAAACAACAACAAAAATCCGAATAAACAATACTACTATAAAATGGGCAATCAAAACATTTCATAAATATGGATCTCTAATTAAGGCAGGAATATCCTTACAATCATATGTCAATGTTGAATATAAGTTTAGATTGGATTGTCGTCATCGAAGCTGATGATAATTATTCAGAAGTTGGGAAGAGATGTGTGGTAGCTTATTAAGAGTCACCAAATCGCATTTTATGGTGGGTGAAATTTTCATGAGATAATGTAATGTTGTTTGCCCGAAGAACAAGGAAATTAGGGTTTAGGTTGGTCAGAACTCAAATTGTTGTTGGCGGGAATGTAGAAGATCCACTCACATAATTTTATGTTTTATTTATTATAGGCTTAAAATTATCTTTGTAAGGCATTAAATTCTCAATTTTGAAAGTTGGGTTAATAATGCTAATGTTTGCATGCAAACCTACAATGTATGGATTTGGTGCAGGCTTTTGTAAACATATTTGTAGGGATTCGGCTTTGATATGGAGTTTTATAAATTTACTCTTGGAAAAAAAATCGAACCTGAATACAAACAAGCATATAATTACCTTTCTTATATTCTTGTGACTTTTTATAAGAATCCGATAGCTATACTTCTTATTTTGCAAATCAATTTATGTTTTTGATATTAGAATGCAATTATCTGCTTACACTTAATAAATGATGCAACAAAATGAAAATATTATTGCATAAGTAATTTCACGAGATTTATAGGCTTTTTATGTTGTGATCTATGCACTACTTCAAAGGGTATTTTTTTAGTGTATTGCTTTATTATAAGCTTATTTTAGTTGCAAGCAACACTAAATTTTAGTATCCCAGTCTATTAGCAAATAGATATTGTAGCAAATTTTCTACAATATCATTTACAAATTCGATAATCTTTTTGAGGGTGTAATTTAGTTGAAAATTTTAGTTGTCTCAACAAGCTTCAATACAATTTTTTTTAGTAACCGAAAACTTTATGTCCTCAGTAGATGCAATGGAAGTGAGAAGCAAAGTAGCGAATGATTTTATTCAGGAATAACCTGGCTACATATGAGGCATCAATAAAAAGATGCTCAAAATATTTTCTTGTTATAAGATTAAGAGATCAAATAATTGAGATTGCATCTTGGGATCCACATATTGAAATGTGCTGCATTATTAGGAACTATTTTTAAGATTCTTGATTCACTTGGTCCTTTAAATCGATGCTTGACCTTGGAAATTGGGCTTGAGGATGTGTGCATGGGGGATTGGGGTTTGTGGGTCTTTCCAAGGCTTTTGTGCTTTCTTTTTTGATATGGTTGCTTTGTAATTTTATACCTTTTAAAGCTCAGTGGATAAATCACTCTTGACCTTTATTATATATTCTTTTTTATTGGGGGAATTCTTATAAAATTGGTGGCTTTAGAGGCGCATGCAAGAAGAATAATGTTGTTGTGAGGTCATTTGATTTATGGGATTTTTTATTTTATTATTTTTAAACATGAGCACTTTAGTTATTAGGAAGGGTTTATGAGTATTCCTTTGTTGTACCAGTTTTGTACCAGTGATTCAATGAACACTTCCCGCTTCCACAGTTGTTGTCAACCATCGAGCACCGCTCGTCGTCACCATCGACAGACCTCCTGCTGCTCGTTTCAAAGAAGCTCTTTGCAAAGTCACGACATACAACACAAAGTAACGAAACACCATAAAACCAACATTACATAGTAATGACACACCATAAGAAGCAATATATCGTCCTGATCATAGTGTATCAACACAACTTAAAGATGGGGTAACAACGAATCTCAAAGATGATGTAATGAGACACCCCAAAGATGGTGTAACTACCCATCCCAAAGATGGTGTAAATACGCACTCCGAAGATGGTATAACTACGCACCTTGAATATGGTATAACGTTGTAGTGACACCCTTAAGAAGGTGTAATAATGCAGTCCGAATATAGTGTATTGATGCATCCCAAAGATTGTGTAACGATACACATCGAATACAATGTAGCGACACCCTTAAGATGGTGTAATGACGCATCCCGAAAATGTTGTAACAACACACTTCTGAGATAGTATAAGGATGTTTCTCAAAGGCTGTGTAACTATTCATCTCGAATATGTTATAATGACACACTCCAAATACGATGTAACAACGCAATCAAAGTATGGTGTAACACACCGCAATAACTGCTTATAATTGTCATACTTAGAATATCGTGACCTTCAAACTCCTGAAGTTTTCTCCTCATAGATCCCCTCTATGGTATAAGACCTTTGTGGTTCACTTCAACTGCAACCCCTTACAATGAACTTGGTGGCTAACTGACGCTACTACAACTCACCACTAAGACCTATGTGATCAACTATGACTTACACGATTCACGACTCATGTAGCTCTCAACTTCATACAAACGTTTTTTGTGGCTCACCATTACAAATTTTGTGACCAACTACGGTCTATGTGATCCACAACTCATGCAACTCCGAATTTTGGTCTATGTGGCTTACGATATTATTGTGGCTCTCCACTATGGCATATGTGACCATCTATGTCCTGCATGATCCACATCATATGCAAATCTCATTTCTGGCCTCTATCATTTATTTACGTTATTGTAGCTCACCACTAAGTCCTATATAATAAACTACAACCTGCGTGGTCCATTGCTCATGCGGTTCCCAACTCCTACCTCTGTGACTTACAAATGTTATTGTGGCTCACTACTATGACCTACATGGTCCACAACTCATGCAACTTCTAAGACCCGCCTCTATGATTACCGATTTTATTGCAGCTTGCCACTATAGTTTATGTGGTCCACAACTCATATATCTTCCAACTCCGACTTCTATGACATATGAACATTATCCCAACAGCTCCGAACTCCGGCCTTTGCAATCTACGAACGTTACCACAACTCATTCAACTCCTAATTCATATCTCTGCAGCCTACCGGCGTTATTGTAACTCACCACTATGGCGTTTGTCATCAGCTACAGTCTACGTGACCTACAACCCAACACATCTCCAACTCCAATCTCTGTGTCCTATGAAAGCTATTGCAGCTTACCACTACGACCTACATGACTCACACAACTCTCAACTCCGGTTTCTGCGCTTACAGCTCTCCGTTACGACCTATGTGATCAACTCCAACCTTCATGGCTCACAGCTCATGCAACTTCCAACTCTTACCCTTGCGGCCTACATACGTGTTGACCTAAATTTTCGTGAGGTCTAGTATTTCTCGTGGGAGTTAGGATCTAGCCTTTCGCGGGGGAGTTAGGATCTAGCCTTAGGGGTCTTCCTGCGACTATCTTAGAACCTTAGAACTGGGACCCGCCTCGTTTTAGTTCGACCTACTTCCGTCCTTTTTTGGAGCTTCGCGTGTGTGGTATCGACGTCTAGCACTTAGAAGGATGAAACCGACATGAGGAAGCCCAAAAGGGATTCCTATAGGACCTTTCTGAGCCTTAGGGTGACCTTCTGCACAATTCGTACCCCCGCGCGCACAAGCTTTGCAATTCGGGGAGTCGACGTTTCCGATCGCCGCAATTCACATTGCCTGCATTATTGCTTATCGAATGCTCAATTAAACCATTTGGGACGATCGACCGCGGGTCGAGATTTTGTGAAATTTGAATTTCGATGCGTTTTTGACCCGATTGTCGACGACGACGTCGTTTGAGCGACCCCGGATGACGAAACGAACTGCGCCAACGCGTCTGGAACGCGATTTTGCCCGGGGAGGACGCCCATTTTGTCGCGTCGTCGCGCGCGAGTATATTGTGTTTTAATATATAATATATTAATTAACCCCTTTACCCTTCCCCTTTCCTCTTTAATCCCTAACACTCCCCTGCGCTCGAGCTCTGTCTCCCGCGACTCTCCTGTTCGCGTGTCTGACCCTTTCCCTTTCTCGGTCTCGAGCCGTGCGAGCTCTTCTTCCTCCATGCGAGGGAAGAGTTGGCCTTGTCCGTCCTTCCCTGACTTTCTTCTGCCCTCGGCCTTCCTTCCCGAAGCCGCGCCAGTCCCTTGAGCCGTGGGTTTTCTTCTCTCGGCAGTTTGACTCTGGGAAGCTTGTTCCTTGGTACGCTGGAATGACATTTTTTCTTCTCCCCTTCCCGGTGCTTCCCTCGCTGCCACCGGCTTG